CCTCCATTCGTTAGATGATTTTCCCATTGAGATATGGGATGTCCTATTGTCTTATTATGTCATTGCCAGAGGGGTTCCTTACTCGGGAACCACTCCCAAAATCAGAAACCCTAAACTTCTGAAACCCCTTTTCGACAAACGCATGCTTCACCTTGAAGGACCCTCAAATGTCCCAAGCCCAAACAGTGTGTCCACACTGAGAGGTTCTTACGGTAAGTGTTAAGGCCGGGGTTAGATCAAAGTACGCTTTGTGTTCTCCGGTTTTTTCCTGCAAATTCTCGCCTAAAACGGTTCTTGTGAGATGTCCATGGCTCGCTCAAAGTCTGCCGCGTGAGTTTTGCAGGCAGCATTTTGCTGGAAATTCGCGCGCAAAGTGGCTCTTGTGACATGTCCGTATGCATTTCGCCTGCGCAGGCTCGCACAACTCTGCATCCCGCTCTTGGGCCCCGGCATTTTTGCTGTAAATTCTCGCATAAAATGGCTCTTGTCACATGACTGCGCAGGCTCGCGCAAACTGTGCGTCCCGATCGTGGGCCCTGGCATTTTTCCTGAAAATTCTCTACATGCTGTCTGCACCAGGTGCCATGAGCCTGTCTTGCATCTGGAGCCAAGACCTTGGCATACTGCCGGGGTCTTGGTTCCAAGTGCATGCTCGCCACCCAACCGATCAAATCCGTCCAAAACAGTTCTGATGGCATTCGCTACACCTTGCTGTTCCTTAGCCAAGCACATACCTAGAGGTGGCGTTGGCCAGCACAGAACTAGAGCTGCGGTTGTGCGCTCTCTGTCCAATTGTGTAGGGAGAAGGGTACTATAGATCTTGTAGGAGCACTGCAGCCATCAACTTCCTCGTGACTTTCCTGCTGACAAAACGACCGCTGCTGTGTTATGGACACACCTGACTGTCGCTTTCACATGTTTCTATCCCCGATCTGCCCTACATGCTTTATACTTACTTTCCCTTCCCTCCACACTCTTTGGGGTCTCTTGCCTGTGTAATTTTTGTAGGAGAAACCATCCGGGGACAAAGCTTTTGGACATAAGTGTTCACTTACTATATCGCCAATTGTTGGTAGATATCCCACCACTTGTTTGGAATGACAATGCACCCTCGAATTTCAAGCTGGAACCGCGCAAGAAGTGCCATGTTCAGCAAGAAATTCATTCCAGAGGACCCTATTCTTTGGTTTTCCGCAGAAAGATGTTCAAATTCCATACGTATATATATATATGTGTGTGTGTGTGTGTATGTCTGTCTGTCTGTCTGTCTGTATGTCTGTCTGTATGTCTGTATGTCTGTATGTCTGTATGTCTGTAGGTATGTCGGTCTGTCGGTCTATCGGTCTGTCGGTCTGTCGGTCTGTCGGTCTGTCGGTCTGTCGGTCTGTCGGTCTGTCGGTCTGTCGGTCTGTCGGTCTGTCAGTCGGTCGGTCGGTCTGTCTGTCGGTCGGTCTGTCTGTCTGTCTGTCTGTCTGTCTGTCTGTCTGTCTGTACGCAACGTACGCAACGTACGTACGTACGTATGTATGTATATTTACATATATGTGATATGTGTGTATATACATGTGTATATATATATATATTCACACACATGTATTTACATCTATATATCTATGTATATATTTACAGTACTTCCAATTGTGTAGTTTGCGTTCCGACAAACCCACACTGGAACATCCCTGCATACTGAAATACACAAGAACACCTTTGACAAAGTGTAGGATTTTCCATTGCCAGTCATCCAAAATCCAACAGGGTTTAAAACCCTATTTTCCCCATTGAATTTTACTTTGAATTGCAGTATTGAGTATTGAGGGAATCAAAAACTGTTTTGAAAACTCCTCTTCAAATCAACCCAGGGAGCAAAACTTACAAACAATGTTCCATCATTGCCTTATGTGTCTGTTGAAATTGAAACTAATCAGCTCAAATCCTCCAATTACTTTAGGTCCAGTAATCGGCACCAACTGCCATTTTATCTGTCTTTCTATCTGGCATATTATCTGGCCTTCTATCTGCCATGTTGTCTGACATATTCTGTCTCATATTATCTGGCATTCTATTTAACTACCTATACTATTGTGTTCGACATATATTCTGACATTCATTGTGCAAGAATTTGAGGGCTCGGCTCCAAACCCAACTATATCCTGGGGATACATCTAATCCCTACTACCTTAAGAATTTGAGGGACCCTCATGTAGAGCGACGAAATTCTTAAGCTGTTCTATTATACGGCATATTCTCCACATGTCGGTGTTCTGACTCAGGTTCTTCTCTTCAAACCCCAACTCTCAAAAACTGCAAACTAGCCGCTAGTTTACAATTTGTGCAACTTTTAGCCACTATTGAATCCACCAAATCCATCCAAATCCAAAAACCTGCAAACTATATAGCCGCCAGTTTACAGGTGTTGCAACCTTGGACCTCTATTGAAGCTTCAGTTTTGAGGGTTGGGAGCTTGGCACTGCATCCAATGCTAAATTGAGAAAGTGGTATGTAAGGCTTTGAGGGACCCTCATCTTATCTATCCCCAACTTTTCGAAATTGAAATCAAGGATTTGCGGGGACCTTTCGGATTCTTATATGGCACTCGGGCTGTATTCTGACATTTTTTATGCACTGTAGCGCTCCGGTCCGGCAACCCCTAGAGAGTCTGCAAGCTCGTGATAGTGGGGCGGAAGCTGACATCAAATCTAGAGACCTGGAAAAATCGCCCGTTCCCATCTGGCTGATTCATGGTTCTCCCATATCCCATGTTTATCCACTTATGGCTCCGCAGTCGGTGCCTTGGGATTGACAGCTGGGACGAGCGGAGGAAGGACGGGTCACATCCTCCTGGCGGATCTCGCCAGGTGCACAGTAATGTTTGGTTTATAAACCCCATGAACTAGATCCACCACAAACCATATTCAAGCCACTTAGGTAAATACCTGTAACATCTCAACTTAGCCATTTTTTTTGGGCAGAAAATCCTGTAACATCGTGGGAATTATGGGGAAATGCTGGGATAATAGCGGATGATATGGGAAACTATTATGGATCTTTGAAAAATTCTGGGGTAGGATTCGATGAATGGTGTTAATTATGGCCACCCCTTTATGGTTCGTTTCTGGAAATGGTTTATTTTTAGCATTGGTTCTACCAGATTATTATCCTTTGAAGTTTCTTAGGTTTTTTTTTGAAATGTCCATAGATTTCCCTTATTTTGGGTTCTTTATTAAGATGCCGGGCGGATCCCATCCATAACTTGGATGATTCGGAGCATCCACAGGCCGCCTGTTGCAGGGGATCGCTGCCAGCCTGGAGATGGATGAGTTTTCCCCCGTTTTCGATAGCGTTGATCGCACGATTGACTTGCAAAATTCCAAGGGTTTATAAGCCAACAAACATAATTGGGGGCCCTCACCTTGTGAAAACCAACATGATTTTGAATATCGAAGTGGGTGGTGAATAACTGGCTGATCCTTGAAAATTCAAAAGTGGTTGATACCTGGTGAATGCTGTATATGGGATGACACCAAAAATTTGTTTTGGAAAAAAATGTGTCTGGATCTGGAAGTTGTCATTACGTACGTTCCATTCTGTCGAATTCAGCAGGACAATCATCTTTCGGAATCCCAAAAGATACTCAACTGCCCCCCCTGTAAACGCTTACATGGATGTCAGAAAATCCACCTCTTTGTTGCCTATGTTACTTTCACTCGGAAATTAGTTGCCATCGTTTGCTTTCCAGGGTGCCTGCCATCCAATGATCATTATTGTCGAGATGGCAATTTTGGAGGAGCCCCGTTGTCAAACAGACCCAAAATATCACAGTGTTGGTGTCATACAACAAAAATGAAATCATGTTTAACCCATGAGATATCATGAAATCCCAGTCTCATTGTGAACCATAACTTCATGGGAAACCTGAAATGAAGATGGTATACCTGCCATGTTAAAAGCGGGATCCAAATTCCACATCTTAACTCCTGCAGTGCTCATGAAGTCCCCTGAGCAATTCGAGCTTGGAGTTCAACTGGAAAAAAAGGGAGCGGCATCATTAGATATGTGAGTCTGTATATACCCTCTGGTAAACTAACATAACTATGGAAAATCACCTTTTTTAATGGGAAATCCACTATAAATAGCCATTTTCAATAGCTATGTTAAATTACCAGAGGGTAGACATACAATACATATTGATAAACAAGGTATGACGCCGTCGTTCCTGGCGTCGCGTGTTTGGGCCTGCAGCATTTCATTTCATTAGTTGCTACTGATCTGGTGCATGACATCAGGCACCATTTGCCAGAGGTTGTGGCGAATGTTGTAGCGCCACTGCCACTGGTAAATCAAATTTCACAAGTCTCTATTCAAGAGACAGTCTTTGGATCCTTGTACTGGTTTGCTTGGGAATCAATTCTTTACAGCGTACAGGAATCTCAGTGTTTGTCCAACATCTGAGCCCCTGCTTCGAGGGTTTGACCACTGCGACTTGTAACATTTGTATGCCAAGGGCAAGAGAACATCCACTAGCATAGCATGACGCGTGTATGTCAAGTGCAAGAGGACATCCACTAGTGTTAGCGCAATGGAACGTTACTGCCCCACCCCACCGAACCCCACCCCACCGAACCCCACCCCACACCACCAACCCCATATATAATATATATATATATATTATATATAATATATATATCATATAATATTATATAATATATATATTATATATAATATATATATAATATATATTAAATTATATATATTATATATATTATATATATATACACGTATGTATGTGCAAAATGTAAAAAAATATCGTTTTCCTCCATGCCGGTATCGCCGGCGTTAGCATAAACAATGGTACAAAATACATACAGAATGCATACAAAATCTCTCTCCCTCTCTCCATCTCTCTCTCTCTCTCTCTCTCTCTCTTTCTGCTAACATCGTTTATCAATGTGTGTATACATACATTAAATATATCCAGTCATTAGACCATGGAGTATTGAAAGTCATGGTGACTCGGGGATCCCCCAGTGATCCGAGGGGATCTCAGGGGCCCAGGCTCGATTGGGTCGGTACAGGAACTGCTTTACCAGATCGCTGGTTGAAGAGATCGGGTCATGGTAGTGGAACCTGGCCGAATTCCATCGGGGTGTATGGAAAAAGCGCCGTTTCGGTTCAAAAAATTGGGATTGAAACCAATGATCAGTTATTAAAGTTATCAATCCCAATTTTTAATGATTATCAATTATTGGATTTCCAATTGGGATTCAAAAATCGCTATCAGTTATTAAAGTTATTAACATCACTTGTTACAATCACTGATTCAAATATTGACAAAGTCAGCAGCAAAATTGTCATCAGTGCTCCGAAAGCATGCGTAGAATTCCCCTTGAAACAAGATGAGTCCGAGCTCCACTAGGTTGCAGCTAACAATGGCTGGCCAACGCTTGACCAAAACATGTTTTTTTTTTGGATGTAGATATGGGCTGGTTATCCATCCAACAAAGGGAACCCCTATGGATGAATATATATATATGCATACATAAATAAACATCTATTGTCCTTCAATATGACGGCAATTTACCCAGGTTTTGACCATGGCACGTTTTGTCAGAATGATCCCCCGGTGCAGAGAAGATTGTCAGGATTCCTGTGCTCATCCACCCAATGTTTGATGAATTGATGATCTTTTCGTGGTCAATACCCTCTGGTAAACTAACATAACTATGGAAAATCACCATTTTTAATGGGAAAATCAACTATTTCTATGGCCATGTTCAATAGCTATGTTTGTTTACCAGAGGGTAGTTTTGTTGCTTTCATTCCCAGACCTTTGTTGGTGTTTCACCCCTGTGGTCGTCTGGGTCATGGACCAACACACTCAGAAAAATTGCCTTCATGCAAACTCATATGGCTGGAGAATTGACTTCGTGAAAATGATGTCCAGAAAAAAATACTGTAAACATGTAGTACACAGGCCTCTTTGCAAACTGACTCAATCAATTAAGACATGAAAAATACCCCTATCCCACCTGATTATACTATATAGTTGGCTAATTTTGGGGTTATTAAACCAGCTGGGTTACTAATGCGTAACAATCATACCCAATCAACAATATCAACAATCATGTGTCACTTACATCCCCATATGGTAGCTAAGACCCCATAAATCCCCTATACTTTTTTAATAAGTAGAGCTTAAATGCCAATGAAATCACCAATCAACAGTGGGATGTTAATGGCTCAGTGGATTTTTAAAGCACCAAAAAATGCCCAATTGTGGCATCTGTCCCGCCACTTCATGATGTCGCGCCTGGTATTGTCATACCTGTGGCCAAGCCAGCTGATAGGCGAACCGAAAGCTACCCGTACAGTATGATATTTATTCATTTATTGATTTGTAGGTGTATATATATATATATATGTAAAAATATGTATATTTATATATACATATAAACACCTCATTATAGATATTATAGAAATATGGTTGTAATACAATAATATATATATAAATATATATATATACATATAGTATGTCTAAGTTTGATTATCCGTCCTTCTCCAGGTCCAGTACCAAGACGCTTTCGCCACTCGGAGAGCTGACCATAGCGGTTTTAGATGTGGAAAATCCATAAAAATCCACCATCTAAGTCTAAGTTCTTATTTTTCTTCATAAACCATAGGGTTTTCCACATCTATGTAAACGTTCACCCCAGGGTAAACATAATAATGGATGATAGTGGGAATTATGGGATGACTATGGGATAAGAGTTCGAAGTGAAATTCTGCTCCTCAAAGTACACTTTTGTGGTCGAGCACCTGCGATAAACTGCTGCTGGATTGGGATCGGATATCAAGATGTTCCACGATGCAATAGCTTGCCGGGCTTGCCGCACCCTTCATAACCTCTTATCACAAGAATCAGCACGAGACCAGTACTATTGAACACATGACTCCTGCGACTCCAGCTACACTATCCCACGAGGCCATGAGAGTCAAACAGGGAATCTAACGATGTTCCCGCGCTAAAGGGGTCGGTCTGACTAGGCAAGTCATTAGCTATCCTCAAGTTCCGTTTACGCAACCAGAGTAGATGGGATGGAAGTCAAACAATATGGGTAAGTCAAGACCCAGCACCACTCTAGTTGTTCACACCAAAATGGCTGGAATTCATAGGTGTTCATCCCCACCATTTGTTATGCTAGTTGCAGATATGGATCCATAACAGGTGAAAACCACCAATTTTCGTTTTCTGCCGAGAAAAATCACCAACTTTGCCCCAGCGTTTCTTTCAGAATGGCAAGGTGGTGCCCACCAGTTGTGTCTGGTTTAGAACCCCAATGAACTACCCTCTGGTAAACTAACATAGCTATTGAAAATGGCCATTTATAGTGGATTTACCCATTAAAAATGGTGATTTTCCATAGCTATGTTAGTCATTACCAGAGGGTAGTTCCGTATACACGGATTGGAGTTATGTTTACCAACTTCGCCATGAAAATCGCCATGTCAATCCCCATGGTTGATGCTTAAAGCACGAGTTTTCGACCCATTTTTCCATGGTGAAAAATCCCCCATTTTTCACCATGGAAACCGATGGTGTTCACGATCCCGACCTGGCCCAGAACTCTTCATTCTCCGTGATGTTTTGCAGCACCTGCACCCAGCTGTGTGGAAAGTCCCACTGTGGGATAGTATGGATAGTATAGGATGCCCCTACTCATCATTTATCCGGAGATATCCAGATATATCCTGAGATATTGATATACACGAATCTACTTATAAATTACCATCTGGTTATGACTAACAGTTCGCCATGGAAAATCACCATGCTATTAATAGGTAAACCCAGCTAAACCATCTATAAATGGGCCATCTATACCATGGCTATGTTAAATAACCAGAGGGTATCTTAAATTCCTTGAATGGCCAAGAACTTGCCGAAAAAGCCTTGCCGAAAATAAAACAAAAAAACATCACCGTTCAGATCGTCCAGGTGAAATTCATGCACGGATCCGTAAAGCTTCAGGAGACAATCACGTCGACTTTCCTTCAGAATATATCAAAATCCCATGGAAAAACTTCATTCTTTTGTAAAGACAATCTGCAAATGAAAGATGTCCTGGCACATCATGGATCTCATTGTGCAGACTCTCTGATAAATCTCTGTGTGTCTATCCAATCACGGAGCTGAAAACAGCACACGGTAACTCAAACGAATGTAAAGTAACCGAGAGATGAGTGTAGTAGTTTTGTAGATAGGAATTCTTCAGTAGATGCAGCAGAAAGGAACAACTCTATATGTCTTCATATTTTGTTTGGGGAATTCACGGATTTCACATGATCAAAACAGCAACAGCTGCTGCAGCAACAGCGCTGTTGGAGGACCCCTGAGAATCAGACATGCGCTATCGTCACTGGATCAAAGGAAGTCTGGGTCATTTTTCGGATCTCTTCTTTTTTGCGTTTTGGGGCCCAAAATAAAACAGGAATTTACATGAAATTACTACGATTTACTTTTGGCATGTCATTTTGAGAACCGTTTTCTGTCAGGTCCCAGTGCCGCGCACCTCCAAATTCAATCGAGCACTACGCAGAAAGGGCACCAGGCAATCCTGAAAACAGCTCGTGAGTAATCTGGTAAACCCAATGCCATAAACCATCCCCAAAATCACCATAAATGGGTCGTACAACAAATCCCCAAATGGTAGGTGTATGGCGTTGGGTTTCCCACATTAGTTCAAGCAGATGCCGAACATTGGTGAATCTCAATAGATCACCTTGGTTAGGACGTCTCTAGGATCAGTTCTTGTTTCGCTTGGTGACTTGGACGATTCACCAACTGAGTGTGTAAATGAAATCCTGAAGTGGGACCAATGTTCCTTCCACTGGCAGAACACTTGCCATCATTTCAACAGAACGCTGGCTTGAACTGTGGCTTAGCCCTCTTTCAACCTAGAGGTCTGAGCACCAAGCATACAGCGGCTTGACGATGTAGGTGTAGAAACCCTGCTGGCTTTCTGCCACTTTCTGCACCTTGCGACCAACACCGGCGGCTGTGCTTTTTTATCTTTTTTCGCGGATCCCCGAAACGGAAACGGGTCGCACCTGTCTGTCGCAAAAGGGCGAACATGGCAATCCCACCTGCCGATTGAATCCTTCAACAAGCTGAACCAAACCCGGCTGAGGACGGGATGTAACACCCCATTTGGATGCGACTGGATGCGACAAAATGGACGAGCTGGCCGTGTTTTTTGTGACTTCAATCAAAATCTGTTCCGAGGCCTCACGTTCCAAGTCTCCCTGCAAGAAAAACCTCGGAGACGATTTCACCAAATATGGAAGCGAATGAGAAAACATTGGTTGCCAGGAATGGATAGGAATGGATAGGAATGGGGGGATTTACAATGGCCATATGGGCCATATCTAAATCGATCAAGGTGTACTGGGCCCAGGTTTATGGAACCCATCTCACACTGGGTTATTTAAAAAAGACAGGAGATTTCAGCAGCAACAGGGATCCAACATGGTTTACCTTCAACAAATGTCTCAGAATATCGGCCTGAGCTTCAAGGATTTTTCCCTATCAACTCCAAGCCTCAACATCAACAGGTTGAACTCAAAAGAAAGGCGAAGAACACGCAAAAAAGAAAAATGTACAAAGTGGCATGAAAGACTCCACTTCTTCTGTATTTTTTGAATGAAACCAATCAACAACTATGTCATTATGTAAAGATGACTGTCACTGTGGAGATATGTAGACAAATTTGGGTGTCACAAATTTGGCGATATCCTTCCCTGTTTACATAGCTAAAAATTGAAAGCAAGTTCTCCATTTGGGGGCCCAACCCAAAAATTTTGGTCATCTCAGTGACATAAAAATTGAATATCCATTACTACGAGGGGGCCATAGCTCAGTTGACTTTGCCCAGGTGAATTCTATGGTTTATGGTAGATATAACGAACATTAACGAACTAGTACCCTCTGGTTATGACTAACATAGCCATGGAAAACTGCCCATTTATAGATGATTTTCCCATTAAAACCTCCATTTATAAGGGATTTTCCATGGCTATGTTAGTCATAACATGTCATAACCAGATGGTAGTCATGTTTTTTTTAATCCAGCATTCACATCACCTCTGCAGGCCCCATTTTTTTTGGGCGCCAAGAAACTCCGATTGGATGCGTGTGGCCCATTGGGCATGGAGGGCAAATGGTTTCGCACTACCACCTGACGATGAACGCAAGGGGAATATCATGGGAAGGTGGTGCCCCCCAGTTATAAGTTAGTTTGTAAACCCATTGAGTATAGATACATCCCCTATAAACATCCATAAACCATAAGTTATTGGAGTTATAAACCGACTTGGCTATCTCGGGAATATGCTCTCCCAATATTCAGACGGGGCTAGCTGGGAAATCATCAACGAACTAAATGGAGGAGGTTTATAGCTGAGAAAATCATCGTACATATAAAAATATGTGTGTGTGTGCATGTGTATATATAATGTATCCATATATTATATATATGTGTGTGTGTATCGCATGGGACCCAAGTGAGTTTGTCGGTGCCAAATTGGTGGTGAAAATCCCAAACTTGACCAACAGAAACAGTGATTTAATGGGATGTAATGGGGATATCATTGGGATAAGGATATGAGGGAGTAAATAACTTTAGATAAACAACAATATGATATTTAAGTGTGTCTAAAAACGCTGAATGCGCCACAATTCACAGCAGTTTATTCGCGGGAAACACAATGATCATCCAAAATTACTTTCTTCGAGTGATCCCCACCCTGAAACACTATTCTGACATAGTTTCTGACATAACATCTCGAAGTATATATGGCATACTGCTTGTAACATTCTATCTGACATTCTTTCTGACATAGACTTCGACATTCTATCTGACATTCTATCTGTATCTTTTCTGGCACAATTTCTGGCAAATATTCTGACATTCTTTCTGGCATTCTATCGGGTATCTATTCTGACATTTTATCTGGCATCTTTTGAGGCATTCATTCTGGCGAATTTCTGGCATCTCTTCTGACATTCTTTCTGACATTCTACCTAGCATCTGTTCTGACATTCTTTCTGGCATTCTATTTGACATTTTCCCTGGTGCTTGGCTGAGGTCCCGAAGTGCCCACTGAGATCTCGCGGTTTTTTCGGTCCGGCAGTGCCCACTGCTGTCTGGAGCTCGCAGTTCAGTAAGTCTAATAGAATCTAGAGCCCTCACCTGGCAGGTGGGGAAAAATCTGTGGGTAACATGATGATATTCCATTGGACAATCCCATTTAAGGCGAAGACTTGGCCGGGCACCTTGGCCGGGTCCCAGTTCTCGCTGCTGGTGTCAACCCAGGACTTTTTTAACCCTGCTTCCCAAGGGGGCATGAAGCACTTCATTCTTTAGGGGGCTTAACCCCTCCTGATAATCGATAAATCTCTACTGGAAATGGTACCTGCCATGTAAACAAAAATCGGGGGCTTATGCATCCTGGGATAGCAGTAGAGACAGGAAATAGGGTGGTGATCCCGTACGCCTGATAAAAGGAAACATGTTATGTCTCCGCTGTATTCCTCTTTTCGATCGGTAAGTCGCCGAAGAAGGCAGCTTCTCGATAATGAAGCTTGAAAGGCAAGTTTTGTAAGATGTATTGGCAAGGTCCATCTTAAACCTTGGGAGGTTTCCACATTCTTCATCCCTGAACCCCACGAAAAACTCGATTGATTGTTGGTTCCATAGCCAATCAGTTGGACAATCTCATTTCACTTGCTCATGAAATAGAAACCATCGAAGTTCAAGGAGGAAACCACAAAATCATCTTCCAAACCCCATAAGAATAGGGGGATACCAGATAAAAAACATTCCATTCAGTTTTTCGTGGGTAAGTCCCAATCCAAACCCTTGCGAAAGCCGTTGGGGTCGCCTATGTCGCTGAGCTTTAGCATGAAGCTCAAAATGTCCTGTGGCTGTCACCGCTTCGAAATGTTGCGGCTTGTTGTTGCTGTTGTCCGGCGTCCTAATAAAAAAAAGGAGCATTGTGCTAACCAAGAAAATGTAGAGATATGCCCCTAAACACAAGGGATGTAGATCCTATGCAGTATATATATATATACAGTGCATATGTATGACGCGACATAATGTGTATGCATGTATATCATATATCAAGTACATATGTATGCATGTGTATGCACATGTAGCCATATCAATCACTCAATCAATCAACCAACCAACCATACAGTCTGACTATTTTTTGGATGGAGTCCTGAGGTATATAATGGGTACCAGTTGTAATGTCATGTCATGTCATGTCATGTCATGTCATGTCATGTCATGACATGCAAGTAATATAACGTAATGTTATGTATTGTTATGGTATGGTATGTTATGGTATTTTATGTTATGTATGAGTGGAATCTAATGTGATGTGATGTGAGGGTATGGTATGGTATGGTATGGTATGTCCGTAGTGTAGTGTAGTGTAGCGTAGTGTAGTGTCGTGTAGTGTAGTGTAGTGTGTTGTATTGTATTGCATGTATGTCATGTGTATCACCCAAGAATGGTCTGGTTGATGGTTTGAACGGTTTTTATTTTCTATCCTACCTGGGATGTTTATCCCAATCGACGAGCATATTCTTCAGATGGGTTGAAACCACCAGTTTTATATTCTTCAGATGGATTGAAGCCACCAGTTACAGATGGACAAGTTAGATAAATGATTAGTGAGCTTGTAGCTGGAATACCTCAACAAATGTCTCAAGGGATATGTTTGGACCCGAAATGGCGTGCCATAGAGATCCACAAAACGTAGCGAGGGGAATCGCACCAAAATTATCCAACATGATCTTATTCAAGGACCCAAAAAACATAATGCCATCCAAAAAACACTTCATTAGTTCTATATCCATCCAACATTACCATATATATATATATATACATATATATATATATGTACAATATGTTTACCCAAATGTGTATATATATATATGTATATAGATATATACATATCCTGCCAAAAAAAGTGACGTAGCACTTCTCCTTTGTTTTCCTCCGCAAAATCATCTCATGAATTCGGAGAAGCCAGGAACTAGTCATGGATCTTTCCAGTCAGCGTTTATGCATGGAATCCGATGTCCCAATGTTTATTGGTTGAAGACAACCAAAAATTCATTGTGGGAACCCATCGATCTGAGAACCCATCCTCACAACCCAAACGTCACACGGCCTTTGACAATAAATTCCGATCAAAATCTCTCACACGCTCACATGAAGATTCCATAAGAAAACCTGATTTTAGGCGACAAAATGGAGGAATAAGGAATACCCCTAAAATTTAATAAGGCCATTTGGGATAGTTTACCCGGTTTACCCTTTTTGACCGTTCACGGAGATGTCCTGTCTCTGCTCCGGAGTGCGTTCCTCGGAGTCTTTCTCACTCTCCAGGTTCTTTTCCCGGAACTTTTTCACCTGCCAGGCTGATAACTTACATGGCACATTCAAGAACCAAAAAAAGCCAACTAACCTGGAAAATCCTTCATTTTGTAGTGGAAAGCATCAATTCATGAATCTTCCAATTTCTATGCAGGGGTTCAGGGTCCCAAAACAAGCTCACATCGTCCTTTTGTGTCTCAGATAATTATATATAATTATGGCTCTGGACCCGCTTAAAGATAGTGCTTTGCTGTGAATTTGCCCACCCAGTTACGTATGTTTGGTTCATAAACCCATGAATACAAATTCGATATGTATATATATATGAAAATACCATAAACCATAAAATTTTCCCCGGGTGAACTAGACAAACTGAACTTTTTTCGTGGGGCCGCAAGCTTGTATGATTCATCCCAGTAGGCAAGTGCTTAATACATATTATAATATAACCCAATTTTATACAGGACATACCTCAACTAAACCCAAAAAAACTCATCCTGAATGAACAAATACGACCACAAAAGCCGTCCGGACCTGATCAAAGTGCTTTGCCAGATCGGTATCTAAGATCATCCTGCCAGGGTTCAAAGCTTATGGAGCCACAAGTAATATGTGTTTTGAGATGGGAAATTGTATGATCTGTATGGGAAATCAGTCACAACCCTGGGACCCAAGTGAATAAAAGGACTCACAGGTCTTGTCTCATGGCCATCTCCATTGATGACCAAGTTCACAACTTAGGAACCTACCAGTCAACATGGAGAAGGACCCGCATATGAACTACTAACAAGCATGATTGTATTCATCAATCATGGATATGGAACCTTTTGGTCATTTAACTTGGCAAAGGAGAATCACCATTCTTTGTGCGAGAATCATTCATGCATACATTACATTGCAGTGCATTACATATACATATACATATACATATACATATACACATACACATACACATACACATACATACATATATATATATACATATGTATACATATATATATATATAGTTCTATGATATGTATGTACATATATGATCATACATGTGTATGTAGACATTTGGGGCATTTCCAGGTTCCACAATGGTGACAATCTTCATGGCGCCATGGGACCTGGTTACGGGACCTCCCCGCGCCCGAGGAGCCACGAAGCAAATGACAAGACTGCAGAAATCCAACTTGGAAAGTATGGGAAACCATGGGAAAAACATATAAAACATGGAAAAATATGGAAAACTATGGAAAACATATGGGAAGAATATGGAAAAATCCGAGAAAATTGCATAAAAATCTACATGAATCACTTTTGTCTATCTGCAAAAACAACAGCTTAGCGTGGCGATGCTTTCAGCAGTGAGGCCACGGGGCCACGACTTTCCAATCATATGGTGTTGCTTATGGTGATAATAAATGATATGGTGGTTATAAACCAAGTATTATCTGGTTGGTGGTTTCAACCCCCTGAAAAACATGAAAGTCAAATGGGATTATGACATTCCCAACTGAATGGAAAGTCATAATCCAGCCATGTTCCAGTCAGCACCAACCAGATATGGTCTCACCAAAGCCAAGTGAGATTGGAGGCGCCAGGTCGGCCAGGTATGGCCTGGAAACTTTGTCGTCACTATGATGTTGAAACCGTACCATATTGGTTTTTTGTTGCCGCCATATTTGATGTCCAAAAGGGTACCGATATCAGTCCAAATATGTTAAGTCCTTCTTTACCAATACCAAGCACCAATTCATCCTGTGGGGTTGCGGGATGCCTGATCACTTGCTGTCGAAAGCCTTGCCGCTCTGAGGTCTCCCAGTCCTCAAGCGTCTCAAAAACGTCTTCGCGGGGATGCACCGAGCGGTGATGGAAAAAAAGAAAACTGGATCGCATCTCAACTTACATATATATATATATATGTATTTGTATAATCATGTATTTGGCCAATCTGAAACCATATATGGCAAACAATTAAAGTATCACAGTATATCTGCAGTATATCTGAGGCAAGTTCATGGAGGCCCACTCGAACCTGGACCTCTGAGTGGTTGAACCACTAAGAAATTACGCCTGGCGTTGTCCAAAACATCGGGTCACCAACGATTCCAAGTGAATTGATTGTCATGTCCACCACCAAAATGGTAAGGCTTGGGGTATATCTGGTTGGTGGTTGACCTACCCCTCTGAAAAATGATGGACTTCGTCAGTTGGGATGATTATTCCATTCCCAACTGAATGGAAAGTCATAAAATTCCATGGTTCCAGTCACCACCAACCAGCATAGAATATCTCCATAAACTCCTCCATTTCTCAACAACAACGCTGTAAATCGGATCTGCACCCCATGCCAAGAGTCGTTCAACAGGTGAGTACCCTGGGATCTGAGTACCGCAAAAAAGATGGAACAATGCATCATCTCCAGAACCTCACCGGCTCCGACGTTTTTTTTCCGGTGAATCGGTGAATGATCCCGAAGGGTGCCATGAAAGGTATCCTGATATCCCTATTTTTAGTAGGGAAAATATGGGAAAATGGCGATGAACCGTGATGAACCATGAAATTTGATCAAATTTGCGGGTATTCCCCTACATGGTCAGACAAACCAAAACTTGCCACGGGAATAGGATGATGGATGATACGATGTGGGTGGTGTATTGTCTGAAAATGCCAAGCTAAGGGGCCCTCACAAACCATGGATCGTCATCATTCTTCCCAATGTAATATCATTGTATACGAAATCATTGCAAATGTCAAGACAAACCAATCTCAATGCAGTTAGGGATTGGATATGGATAATCTGGAGATGTCTGCAATGTTTGGGTAACTCAAAATCCATTGGTTAATGATCATTTGAATTGGATGTGTATAATTGTTAACCCAAACAGAGAATCCACTGGTTTGGAAAGTCCTTTGTTCATGAAGCCTAAATCCAATAGGAATTGGATGTGAACGCCATGATTCCCAGATGGGTGTGGACTGAGCCCAAAGGGTTTGGGAGTAGAATTGGTGTTCATCTCGGCAACTATGACTATGACTAATAACCATGACTTCAACCAAGTGTATAATTCATGGGGTATTTTGATTCGACCGAGCGGGCTTGCAAGACTAAGATTGCTTAGCACCTTCCATACATCGTTTTTTTCTGGTGGGGAGTGGGGATGGGCAAGTTCTCCTTCTATGATTGTGTCTTCAGAGTACTGGGATCTTCACCAAAGTTGCTGGGTTTAAAGAAGTCCCGAAACAGAAAAAAGGTAACTCCCTCACAGCCAATGGTTGATCATAATCGTCTCACAGTCACAGCTGCCAGCTCCACCATTTACCAAGCAACGCTACTATCGTTGTACAGCAACGCCAAAGGCGATTCAGTGGTGGTGTGATATCCTCAGCGAAAAGAATGCGGAACATATATTCAGCCATAAAATGTTCATGCCCCGCCAAACTGAGTTTTGGCTTCCAGTTTCTTCAGGTCAGCAGTTCCGAAATCAACACTTTGGAGTTGCAAAATTTTGCTGAGAATTCCATCATTATCAGTGGCCCTCCGAGGAACACACCCAAAAAGCGTGGCGCCTTTTGTTGAGTTCCCAATCTCGAAATAGCGTGGCGCTTCGGTTTCCATGTGAAGAGCCAGTGTCAGTAAGCTCTTGCAATCATGGGTCACATCTCCCAAAAAGGGGATCTATGATCGTCCCCAAATGTATTGGCTATATAACACTGGTGACTTACATCATGCCCAATCTTGGGCACTCAAAAAAAAGAGAGCTGAGTTTCCCAGTTGCTAAAGCCCATCCAAGTCATCCGTATCGTATATTGAAAACCAAAACATGGTTGTTCATATGCCAGTGATAATGTGGATGGAAGAAATCCTGCACCAGTTGGTAAATGGGTTTTCCCATTATAATCCCATTATAATCCCATTATTTACAGTGTTTCATAGGTACCTAATAGTTTCCAACTGGTGCAGGATTTCTTCCATCCACAGTATCACCAAAATGATTGGTTCAAGCTGTATCATCTGATCACTGATCGGTTTGATGGTTAACCACCATGTGTCTCCATAATTTGTTGCTTAAAATCATCTGATCCCTATATCTTTACTGTGAATCCATTGCCCAGCTGGGTATATCTGGGTATCATGTTTACCAGCTATCTGCCACGCATTCCGTGACATTCCCACCTATGATGGTTGGTTATACCTTATTATACCCAATCTTTGGTGAAATGGTGGTATATTCCCATCAGAAATTCCAGTCATATAAACCCATGATTTTTCGTTGATTTTCACCCCCCCATTGTGTCATGTTTAACCCCATACCCTCTGGTAAACAGCCACATAGCTATTGAAAATGGCCATAGAAATAGTTGATTTACCCAGCTGTAAAATGCTGGATCTTTCCAGTTCGTTATGTAAACGTTTACCAGAGGGTATTATCTCCCCATGTTTTTCCCAGGATTCACCATCTTTGTTGATTACCCTCAGGTAATTTAACAGTTTGCTATTGAAAATGGCCCATTTATAGTGGATTTACCCATTAAAAATGGTGATTTTCCATAGTTATGTTAGTTTACCAGAGGGTAAATCCACAATTGCCAGGTTGTTTCATGCTTAAACCACCATCTTAACGTCTGATCACCTCATCAAGACGAGCTACGACCCGTTTTCCCATCGTGGCCTTGATGGCAAAGGCGCAAAAGAAAAACACCCCACCCGAAAACCCCCCCGTGCCACATCCACAGAGGGGGATACATAGACATATGAATATACAGATACATACACATCCATGTATATATATATATATATTGGTATATATATATATTGGTATATATATATATACTTACACATATATATATATAACTCATATATATATATATACATATAGATACACATATTTATATAATCTTGTATATATCCATATACATACAGGGACTAACACCATCTCGGGGGAAGGGGGGGACCACCAGACACTGGTCCATATGTATATGTATATATATATATATATATTTATTTATTTATATATATATATACACGTCTACATATGTATATATATATATACACGTCTACATACATGTGTATATATATATATATATGTATGCCTATACATGTGTACTGTATATGTATATATAAAAAATCATGGGTTAGTCTAATATACATCTGCTTTATCCGATATGTATAGCATGTAGATTCATGATCGTAGCTGTTTGGCTCCCCATTGTTCATATGGCCATTGCTCCAAGCTCCCGGCCCCAGCCGACAAAGAATTGGGAGCCAACTGTCAACCGGATTTTATTCTTGGAAACCGGTCAATATTGGGATTTCGCCAGCAAAAATTGGGTTTCACCGCTGAAACGCCGGACTTAAACCATCAAAGACTCGGGATTGACAAAAAAATGGATTTGACCAGAAAGACAATGCGAGATAGGCAGCAAACAAGTTCGCATTTGAGATTTCAGCCAAATCCGAACGAAATCAATAGCCCTCTGCCAATCTTTACCTAGATCGGTTGCTACATGGCTCACTGCTTTCCCGTCATGAGAGGACAACAAATCATGAGCGCAAAATAATTGCAATGTGGGATCCACCATGATGAACCATCCCCCAATTCTCAATAACTATGAACTTGGATTTGCTTAAGGGGATCAAAAAAAAATCTCACAGAAAGATCAATATACATATACGTATACATATACATATATATATATATACACTCGCCACATATATATATATATACATATATATGTATATGTATGTATGTATATATATATACATATTCTCCCCACATAGAGTCCGCATTTCGAACGTGGATATTGGGACAATCCAAAAAATCACCTTTCCAAAACGAACCCAGGTGAATCATCCCAAGTATACAAAGCAGGAGTATCCCCAATAAAGCAAAACCACAAATCTTCAACTCTCTTTATAGCATTGTGGATTTTTCAATGCTGGTTGAGTCCCAAGTCCCTTGGATTTTCCCAAAACAAGTCATCTGCCCCAAATCGGCTACCTTTCGCTAATCAAACATGGCTGGAAAATCACCAACCAGTACTGGTGGGTTATGATAATAGGCTATGGGTATATCATTAATAACCCACCATTATGGTATTATAATGGTTATATACCACCTAATAGGTATGGGTATAAACCACCTAATAGGTTATATACTGGGTATATACCACCAAGCAGCTATGGATGATGGGAAAATCACCATCATTCATCGTTGAAAAATTCCCCGCTTTCTCCAGGCGAACCCAGAAGGGCGCCGTCCCAGAAAGCCCACCTACATCATGCGCAGCAGCTGCTAGGAGGGCTGCAAAGATTTCGCGGTCCGTAAATCTCGGAGCTGTAGCAGCGGCCGAGATTTAGTGGATACAGTTGGATACCCCAAACAAATGATCATTTCTATAGGCAAAAATGATCATTTTTTGCAGTTGATTTAAAAGGTACCTTTTTTTTTTGACCCCACTGATTTTGGTGTCATAGCTCTGAACTCCTTCATAAACGAAGGTTTCCAGGAGATCCAACCATCTCCCACCATGAAGAGGCTAATTTTGGATGTCACCAAAAAATTCATGATATCTTTAGCTTGGACCTGAAACATGGGACATACCATCTGGTTATTTTATATAGCTATTGAACATGGTTCATCTAAAGATGAATTACCTGGTGATTCAATGGAGATTTTCCAGTTCGCTACGTTAAATCACCAGGGTGTGCAGGCTATGGGTCCAAATTCAGGTGCCCATTCGGACCCAGATGTTTTATTCTCAAAACCTTCACATCTGCTGGTGAAATCACCATTATTCCCGGTGAAATCATATTTTTTACAGATTCAATCACAGTTTTCACTGATGACATCACCATTTTGACTGGCTCAATCACCATGTTTGCCTGTTCAAAGGTTCGACCCCTGATTGCCTCGCCGCCAAGTTTCTCTGCAGATTTGTTGAAGTGCGTGAAAAAATAGGCGATGCTATTCACCACCTGAGCTACCGACAGTTCACTCAGCTCACCGGTGTCATCAGCTCCATGGCAGGCCGCTACTCAAGAACGACAGCTGGGCATGGAAATGGAAATATCATCTACAAATGGTGGATTCCACATATCGACGTTAGTTTACTACAAGGGGTCACAAAAAAGTCAACGAGGATGTGAAACAACGAGTATATGGTCGTATCAACAAATGGCTCTATAGTGGGTTTGGTACCTGAATCTTGGGTAGCCAAGGTTCATCCCCTGGTGTTTTCCTCACTTTCCGGATTCCGACCAGAAATTTTGCACCATCTCATGAATCTCATGCACACACCCAAAGATGTCATATATCGCATGATATCCCCATTGTCTTCTCCCGTGGCCCGTGTGTATTTATTTATTTATCTATCTATTTATCTATCTATTTGATCATCGTGGCGTCGACACGCCCTGCCTTCCAGGCTCCTTTTGCGTTACAACGGACCACCTTTTTACATCGCACAGCATCGAGGTTACCTAGGGACCTACAGGATATCCCAGCCTCATTTGCAATTCCTGATATCTCTTCAAGAGCGATGTCTCTATCTTCAACACAGCTTCACTGGCTTTCTCTTTACAGGTTGGATCACTGCTGTGGTTCGTACCCAAAGAGTTAAACACATTGTAGTCAGTAGAAGGGTTGCGATTTTCGTCAAATTCCTGGACAGCTTCAAGAATGGCAGAGCGTTGCTCCATGGAAATCAGATGATTTGGAAAGTAATGATCAAGCCAAAGGGCCACTCCGCGATCAAAGCCCTCTGAGGTCTCCGTCAGTTCTTCAAACTTCAAACGAAGTGTGTTGTTGTCAGGCTCAGCAAAAATACTGGCCATGGATTCGATGATCGGAAGCATATATTCTGCTGTCAGTGCTGTCCCTTCCTCAGGTCCCAGGAAAGGTAATTCCAACACGGGCATCAAGGTGTTGATCATTTCCTTGCCTTCATGATGATAACAATAGGCAGATGCCACCATCTCTAGCGGGTCCCGAACAGAGCCTGCCACCAGCATGGTTTTACTCCGAGGATGAGCGGCCTTCCAAGAGGCGTTAAAGCCATCAGTGAATACGATGATGGGAGCCTCCTCATTCCAACACATAGGCAAAGGGGGCCCGTAGTAGCACGGGTATTCCAGTTTGCCCATGACATCTTCTCCAGCTCCCAAGATTTTGAACATTGCGTAGTGAATTTTACTCGTCAAATAAACACCTGTCTTGTGGTAATTTGCTGTCATGTAGTCATACACTTCCCATGGTTTGGGATGTGGCTCCAACTGAAGCCTGGTTTGAACCAAGGACGTGGATTCAATGGATAGACACTCTGGGCCCCCACAGGCAACGGCCACAGGAAGCCAGTAGCCATGGCAAATTCATGTTCATAGCTACAGTAGCCCTTCGTGCAGCAGTTCAATAGCAGTTTAAAATATGTTTTTCATACAGTGTTGTTTTGTGTTTTCCATGCATGAAACTACACTGTCTTTAGGAATTTAGGAACATACCTATGATGCAGAAAGTTCGGTGCCTTGTCGTTTGGGCGGGGCTCAGTGAATTTTCTTGAGCCCCCTGGGGAGAAGAATCGCGAGGATCGATGGAAAATATGATGTTTGAAAATAAAAATCAGACCAACCCATATCTACCTTTTGTTTCCTGGATCTACATCTTGTCAAGTCGTTGAGTACCCTCAAAAAACCATGGTCCAATAGCAACAATAAGCAAAGATCCACCAGTGGGGTTGAATCTTGAGATATCATACCTATACCTAAAATAAAACTGGTTCACCTCCACCTCACTCAGAATATGGCAGGAGCGGGAAGGATCCTTGATTGCCAGCGGGGTCCGTCTCAAAAATCTGGCCAAATATCTACAGTGAAACCACTGTTTATCTGGCCAAATATCTACAGTGAAACCACTGTTTAAGAACCTGCTCCAATAAGAGCTTTAGGGGCTGGATTGCTGGATTCAACCCTTTCTGTCAGCTAATTGAAATAAGAGCCCTAGGGTACCCTGGAATTCTAGCCACTGGTTCTTATTCCCCAACTTTAACGGGTATCAATATATCAAACATTGATTGGTGATATATGAGAGCAAGAAGCAAGCACGCAAGAAGCAAGAAAATCGCCAGCGCCACAGGGATTCAAACCCCAATACGGCTAGCTACCATGAATACAAGAGCGTCGGGCTCACTAGAGGTTTGTTTTGGTTTGTCTTGCCTGTGCTGCCTTGTTTCGGGCACCTAAATCAAAAGAAAAAACTTTTCGGGAAGCAAAATGTGTTTTTCTTCCCCCCCAGGATAGGCTGGAAAATGTTTAATCGGTTTTTATCTAACGGTTCCGCTTTACCTTGAGAGGGTACCTTAATGGATAAACAAGGTTCATCCTCTCATGATAGAATGGCAGCCTTGGGATTTCGGAATCCCGATTTCGGGATAAACCATGATGAAACATGATGAACCACATTCAACTCGACACACCTCGCATTCAACTGCCTGCCCCACAACAAAAGGACATGCCAGGAAACATCTGCCGCATGCACGCTGTTGTGATAGGGATTGCTTCGATTGTAGCGACTTTCGATCCCTTGCCTCAAAAAAGCCGCTCAGCTTCACGGTGATAATCATAAGGACCCTCCCAAAAACAAAACTATGGCACCTGCCCCTGTAGTTAGTGTATATATATATATACACACACATACATCATATGCGCACACACACATATATATATATATATGTCATAGGGACCATTCTGAAAATATGAACCCCCGCCCCATCCGAACAAAATCGATCGCCAAGTCGCAATACGCTCTCCAAGGCGCAGTCGGTCCTTTGGTGGATGAAAACGGGGCTGCTATGCTGCTATTTGGGCGGTTAAAAACCCTTAAAACACATGAAGAAATAAAGATCCATAAAGAACTGCTGTTTTTTAGGTCAACAGAAGGGAACCAGGGTTCTGATCCCTAGCCATTTGTTGACCATTTCAGGCGGAACATCACCCCGTTCCCACCTGTGCCATGGTCAAAAAGATGGTATATGGTCATCCATCCCATGATAGGAATCCTTACGATGGGCATCTAAATCACTAAGAAATGATTCAGGGATTGATGATCATCCATGGGAAAGTCACCCATGTTTCGACCCGTTCCCACATGGAAATGCTACATGGTTTGTGAAGCCAAAAACTTTCAAAAATGTGAAAAAGACAGCCAAGAAAAAGGCGGGGGTCACGGAGATTGTTTAATCTCATGTCTCCGGGAGAACATATTACAATAAATCTGTATGTATACACACATACATACATATTTATATATATATATATATTTTTTTACAGTATTTATTTATTCATTCATTTATTTATTTATATAAAGCAGTAGATCTGGATAATAAGGGGGCTGAGAAACCACTTTCTATGGATGCGAACGAAAGTTTTTTTGATCCTGTGGATGTTAACTCGTGACTCACGTGACCTAAGGAGAGTTGTCTCAGTGGCGTTTCCTCTTCATCTTCCGACCCACTCATCACAATGCCAAGGGGCATCGATAATCCTGACACTCGCAGGAATCACATAGGGTTGGATGTCGATGATGGTGATGGTGATGGTGATGATGATGATGATGATGATGATGATGATGATGATGATGGTGATGGTGATGGTGATGGTGATGGTGATGATGATTATTATGCTGATGCTGATGCTGATGCTGATGCTGATGCTGATGCTGATGCTGGTGCTGATGATGCTAGTGATGCTGATGATGCTGGTGATGGTGATGATGGTGATGATGGTGATGGATGGTGATGATGGTGATGATGGTGATGATGATGATGATGATGATGGTGATGGTGATAGTGATGGTGATGAATCTTCGAGGCTTTTGGATTTAGGCATATTTGGTCAAATGTCTCTAAAATTCCCCAAAATTCCCTAAAATTCCCCAAAATTCCCTAAAAAACCTTTAAAAAAACTTAAAAATTCCCTAAAAATGCTCTTTAAATTCCCTAAAAGTCCTCAAAATGTTCCTTAAAAAAATCCTTAAAAATCCCTTAAATTTCCCTAAAAATCTCTAAAATTGCCCTAAATTCCCTAAAATTCCCTCAATTGGGTCATGGTACACCTCCCAAGATCCGTAAAATCCCTCTCTGAGGACGATCATCCCCCGCCTGCGGTGAGTGCAATGTCCAAGCGCTCCGCATAAGGCGTTAAGGCCTGGCTCAGAATGGGACCGTCAGACACAGACGTCCGGGAATCGTTACTCAAAGGTTTGGAAGGTCGGGATCGTTAGGTATTTACATGTGACGGTAAGAATTGCAGCTTTGCTCTCCGAAGTTTCCCTTCGCCAGTGATCACTACTTGGAGGAGTGTTGCAGTGAGTCACTGGTTAAAAAAAGTAATCATGGTAATCGTAAGTCCCTGAGTGGTGTCTTTCCCCATCAGTCAGTGAGTAATGACCATAGTTGTTGATCAAGTGCTGATGACAAATCTTGGATACCCTGCATTTTCTGTTCCTTGGGTTGATACATCCCCATTACAGCATGCAGCATGACAAAATACCCATGGATGCTAAATGACCAATGGTCTTTACCATCGAATTACCCTTGAACGTTATCACCATTATTAAAACAACCATCTTCATAGTAATTACACTATCGCAACAATGATTAATGTCATGTTCACCACTAGATCCAGGAAATCCACATATTATCTTTCTTGTTATTATTACCATATGTTGGATCAATTCATCAATACACTCAATGACAATCAACTGTACCCAAAATATGTCCAACAGTTCAGTAACATTGCCGAAATTGGGCAACAACATTTACCATGAACTACCATTATTTTAATCCATACTGTAGATTCCATGTGGCACATCCCAAAAAAAATGGCATCATGTGGCTTGAAAACTCCGTTCGTAGCTCCCTATAGCTCCCTGCTAACCATAATTCCATAGCTCTGATGATACCACATACCATACCCTCTGGTAAACTAACATAACTATGGAAAATCATCATTTTTAATGGGAAAATCCACTATAAATGGCCATTTTCAATAGCTACGTTAGCCATTACCAGAGGGTAATTCTATTTTCGGCATGATTCCATCGCTATCGATTTTGTTTGTCGACAATGTCATGAAATATTCGACTGGACAGTCCCTATATAGGGCCTATGGAAATGATCCTCTACCAGATCCTCTACCAGTTTGCCACGTGAATCCCTACGATTCAATGGTAGATGATGGCCATCCCATATAGCAGAATCATCCAACTATTGACCATGAACAGATCATCTCCAGTAACCAAACCATGGCACTGGAAAATACAAACCATTTATAGATGATGTTCCCAGAAAATGCGAAAAAACGAAACCTCTCTATTTAGTGAAGGGGAATTTTTCAAAAATGTTACAGCTGGCCATGATTGATGACCAGGAGTTATATCCGATCGTCGAGTTCCATTGAAATCATTTGGTTTTTTCTCAACGGATGGTTTCCCCCATGGAAATATCATCCAAAAAACCACCATAGTAATGACCATTAGTGTCATTTCCATAGTAATGTTCCATGAGAATGGCCATAGTCAATATTTGTCATTCTTGTTCTATCATTCCAATATCATCGCGATATTGAGGCTAAATATATATATATATATATGAGTTGTATCTCCGTTATTGTTCCATGTCTATCCCCATTATACCACTGCGTAGTAATCCAAAAAAAGATTTATATACTGTAAGAAAAAACCGACAAACTCTAGTTTAGCAGGAGCTTATTGAATTCAATCTTTTTGGGTGGTTACCCTCCTGTAAACGTTCACATCAATGTGGAAAACCCGCCATTTGTAGATCATTGTCCTAAGGAAACCAGAGTGTTTTCCACATCTTTTCTGAGTGTTACCCCTAAGGCCCTAAGGAATGGATGTAATTTTTCGGAATTACCTTAGTTCCCAATAAATCCCAGTGTTTCTATGGACCCCGCGGAGACCCCAAGGCCCACCTTGGTGGCCATCACCCGCAAGGTCTGAGAGCCTAAAACCTCCGATAAGCCCACGACCTGACGCTGGGGATCATGTAGGACAATAATATTTAATATGGATTTAAATCATAATATAGTAATACCTAATTATATACATGTGTATATATATATGTGTGTGTGTGTGTTATAATCACGTATGTATACATAGATATATATATATATAGGGGAGAGGCTTGAGGTTCCCCGGAGCATGGAGGAACTTTGAATCTCTCTCTCTCTCTCTCTGATAGACATAAGCATACAGAAGGGGTGGGGTGGGGGGGATGTTAACGTTCCTTGAATATTGCGTCACCAGAAGATGTTGTTATGTTGATCTTCGTTGTGGCATACAGAAGGGGGGTGGGGGGATGGGGCGATGTTACCGTTCATGGCATTGCGTAACCAGAAGATGTTGTTACGTTGAAGATGTTGTTACGTTGATGGTTTTGATACATTGAAGATGTTGAACACGTTGTTGCGTTAAAGACGCTGTTACGTTGAAAATGTTGAAAATGCTTTCAAACGGCATTGTGGATGTGAAGAGTAAAAAGCCTCACGCGCATTTTGCCCATGGTTATCTGGTGGATTATGACATTTTAATGTTACTCAAAAAACAAAAAATACAAATCAACACGCAAATCCACCGGTTTCTACGAAGACAACATAAAATGAAGAACTTGAAAAACGTTTAAAAAAAGAAACCTTCAAATGGTGAACAACATATCCCAGGTATGTTGTCCGCATGTTGAACTGATTCCATATGTTATCAAGTTGTGGAAAGAACACAAAACACTGTAAAACACAGTGAAAAATGACATTTTTCAAAATTGCAAACAATGAACTTGAATTGCGTTCCGGGGAACCTCGAGCCTCTTCCCTATATATATATATAGAGATAGATAGATAGATATAGATATAGATATGTATAGCATCGTGTAGCATCATGTGGTTATATATATATATATCATGTGAATATTGTATATTTATGTAGCGTCGTGTATATCTCAATCTCTATATAATCCCATGTATGTATGGCCTTGTACACATCATCTCTGACGGATGGGTGAGTTCAAGCCAGCTCTGTGGATCTGAAAATTAGGGTGTTCAATGGGGTTTAACCAAGTTGGTTAAACCTAAAACCCAGCAGTTCATGGGATTTTTATGGGATTTTTAATGGGATTCAATGTGGATTCATGTTTCTTAAGTCATGATTTGCATCCCCAGTCGTCACCATAGGTGAACCAATACTAAGTCATGATTATCCATGACGACTTGGGTGACTGGGGTACCCGCATGACTTAGGAAAGCTCCAAATGAATCACATGGATTTCCCACTAGGAGGTGTATGAGGCCCCCAGTGCCATGCCAATGCCATGCCAATACGGACTTGGGCAGCCAAAAAAAAAGAATTAAAATGGATGAACATGGAGGATTTACGCACAAAATGTCAAAAACCTCACATATATATATAATGTGTATATATATATATAATGTATATATATATAATGTATATATATATAATGTATATATATACAGTATTATTATAATAATAACATTTAGTGATTAGAATGATTTACCTATTATTTGAATGGTGATTTTCCAGACAGAAAACTGTTGGTCATTGCCAGCGGGTATTAAGCCTATTCCATAAAGGTCCGATTAATATTCCAGATTTTTTTCCCATTCTATCCTTTTTTTTGGCTGCCTAATTAAGTGTCCATTTTTGTTGGTTAGATCACCATGATATCCCCCAACAAAATCCCCATCCACCAGCATTCTGCCATAGCCCATACCATCTGGATCCAGTGCTCCAACGAGAGACGTTAAAGTCCCAATTACCAAACTGCGACATCAGAACTTCCGCGGTCTCCTCGGAAGTCCAACGCACTCCAAGATCTCAGGGTCACATTTGGGGTCCAAAAAATGTGTGGTATTATACCATAAAAAAAACTGGGACAATGATGATTAATGATGATAATGATTAATATCATTAATACTCCTTCATTTTTTCGGGACAATGATGATTTCATCAAATTACCCAATGTTCAGTCAAAGCCATATGGTCAACATCTAAGAAACCGAGGCTCGGTAGTAAATCTTCATCGGGTCGGGGCGGGCCCCCGCCATAGATTGGGGGAAGGCCCCATTAAAAAACTCCCACATCCATCAATGATACCCTCTGGTAAACTAACATAACTATATATGGTATATCATCATGTTTAATGGGAAAATCCACTATAAATGGTCATTTTCAATAGCTATGTTAAATTACCAGAGGGTACCCAGTACATGAAGATATGGAAAAGCCACCAATATAGATCATCTTCCTTGGAAAACCCTGATTTCCATATCCTATTACTGGAGTGTCTCCCAAGCAACGTGGCCATTAAAGAAAAAACAAAACTCCAACTGCCCTGCCAGTTCCAAGTAGTTCTCCTCGGAAACCAAGGGAGGTGTTCCTTGACCGCCAGACTGTGCCAAAGAATACATCATCGCATCTGGCGATTCGGTCGAGATCCCCAAGTTTTTTCGGAAATCATCCAATCATGTGGTAAAAGGCTGGGCCCAAACCACCCAAACCACGGTATCCTGATGGTAAGGTCCTGAGGTTTTTGGGTGCTGATTCAAACAAACAAACGGCCAAGTGGGTTCCCGGGGAGATGATTACCGGACCCCTTCATTGCCTCACAAGCCTCCCCTTGCCAGAGGTGCCGTGGGGAATAGGAAAGGATTTTGTGGGCGATGGCCCATCCAAGTATCTGGGGTCTGTCTATACATGTATTTGCCTGGTAAAGTAACAGTTTATCCGTTTGCGCCATGGAAAATCACCATCGAACCACCCTTGGCCATCTATTCCCAAACAATCTACGGAGGCTCATCCCATCCAGGAGCACCCTGAGTCTCCCACTGACAATTGTTGAGTAGGTAAAGTCTTCCTCCCCATCAAAGAAGTGGCTCTCCGGTTGCTTCACGCCCTCAGATTTCTCGTCACCCATCCCATCCAGTGATGGATAAATGAAAATAATCCTAAACATGAGGCATTGACCAACCATCATTGCTGCCTTTGCTATAGGTCAAAACATAAATAAAGGTTGCTCAACAATAGTTTACTCGCTTTTAGTGCCGAATCATCCATGTTTGTTGGTTGGATTATCTTGAAGCGCACCCATTTGGGGCGGATTGGCTTATATAATTATCTTGCAACCATCTCGAAGAATTTCCGAAATACAAAGAAAGAAATGGGGATTGATACTGCTTACCCTCTGGTTGAATCTGCTGAAGCCATGGTCCATTTAGTTCGATGATTCCTACTATTTAATCAAAGATGATTTCCAGCAATTTCTGTAGTCATTGCCAGATGGTCCCATTTCCACAAGAAAATTTAGCCAATAACATATAGTCTTAGTTACATAGTGGTGTTCAGACCTTTCGCAAACCTTTCACCGCCCGCGGCCTTTCGCCACTGCAGCAAAAACACACGTCCATATCTGCAGATGTCACTCGGATACTAAAAGTCTTGCATGGGTTTTAGAACGACTCCCAATCCCATTTCATCAAAACCCTTTCTCAAAATATTCAACCAGTCACCATGGAGTTTACCCCGGGATTTATATTAACACCTATAACTGGGACCATGAAGCATGGTGGATTTTTGGGGACATGACAAATGACACGTCCAAGCCGCGGCATGCTCCGGGATGGGTTCCACCTGCATACTTCTGGAAGAACCGCTGGACTGGCGCTGCCGCGGGGTGGTCGACCAAACCTCATATGGTGATATGTACAAGTACTGTATCATATATATATATATATAGCTTAGATATGTATATGTATATATATATATATATATGCGTGTACTGTACATATGTAAATACTGTTATTAAATATATATATGGTAAAATATGGAAAAATCGTGTTTAAATCATTAAACACTGGGATCATATGCCAACGTTAAACATGGACGGTGCCCCAGTTCTGGACGGCCAAAAAGAAACGGCTGCGAGTGTTATGACGGTTGTTTCGGCTGACGAGACGGCTCTACCGCAAAACCAACGCGGCTGATCTTAGCACGTGTTTTTAACGAGAAAAATAAGATGTCCACCTCCAAAACAAGAATCTGTACTGTTGATTCGCCCAACTCTTCAAAACTGTGAAGTCTGGCCTACTAGATCATGAAATAAAATGCACTATTCTGCCAAACAAAAAGTCCACTTTGAAGCCAGGAACAAACATCATCCAGTGGCTCGCTGTGGCTCTCTTCGTGCCCACCCATCTGAATTCATCTGAATCAATATGTTTTTTCGGAAAATAAAGGAGGCCGGTTTGGTATATTAGTTGTATTATCATCTAAGATATTGGTTGCTGAATGAGGTGAAGCTGCTATTGACCAACCAGCGGGAAAAGGACATCTATGATCTGAATGTACCAAAAGTTGGACCTGTTCTTCCTTGAACCGACATTTGTTGAAGACAACATGCTCCAAGAAATCCAAAAAAAACTTTGGATAAAGATCCAACCCCAAAATCCGCAAAATCCCCAGTCATTCACCCAACCCATCGCCGCTCCGCGCACCTGGAACTTACCCTGCACGTACTTCCGTTGTGCCGCCTTCTTGACATCGTTGGAGGCCGATCCTGCACCCTGGCGATGGATCCATGTGCCGGGTATCAATTGGGTATCTTGGTGATGCAATTAATGGTAAGCAATCAATGGTATATTAGCTGATGGTGATGCAATTCATCTGGGTAAATTATAATATTTCACTACCCTGAATTAAGGCCATTTTGGGATAATTCCCCTTACTAATCATGATTCCAGTGAGGTCGCAGTGAGGTCGTTATAATTTACCCAGAATTCATGGTATATTAGCTGAAAAGACTGGGGATGAAACCGTTTCATGGCAATTTAGCCAATAAATGTTGATGATCAGTGCTGGAGAATCATGGAAGTGGCTTGGTGTAGACTTGTCTCAAGATCACCAGGGTGTAAGCACCCATATTCAACCTGCGGGAGTTGGGGAAAAGACTCCACCTGCTTCACTCTACTTTCCAAGTAGATTTCAACCTATCAGTAGTTGTTCCATATGTATATTTATGTAGATATATATATATATATATTATAATATCATATGTATATATATATATTGTAATATTATATATATATATTAACATTATATATATATATATTAACATTATATATATATATTATAACATTATGTATTTTACCAGGTCAGCCAACAATAGTTACAATAACTAGTGGGGCAACAACAAACCGGTAAGCACTCAGCTCTTTTGAACCAACGCTACAGGATAGTACGATGACCTATATGATACATGGTTTTACTGCAGGAGTTTTTACACCCCCCTCGGGCGAGCAGGGACGACTGCGGAGAACGAATAACCCAGAAAAGCATACCCTCGCGGGTAGCCAAATTTCTTTAGTTGGTTTTGATCATTTTTATGCAGTCTTTCAAAGGTCCCTATAAAAAGCTCAAGCCCGTAAAACCCAGCGCAGCTATGCAAGGAAGGCACATTACCATGCCACATCTTGCGCTATGCTACAAAAGAAAATCATCGTCTACCTGCGGTTCCAATAGATCCAACGGCCGCCGGCCTCGTCACGGTAATACCAAGCCCCACGCCAGAAACTCCATTCTCGGCGTGCACCATAGTGATCACGATTCCAACTCCAGGAGGCATCCGGGCGACCGGAGCTTGCAGCCTTCGATGTGGTTGTGCTTGCTGCTTTTGCAGTAGGCGGCGTCTCAGGCTCCAAGAATGGTCGTGCTCCTGCTTTGGATGTTGGTGGTTCGGGTGCAAGAAATGGTGCATTGTTGGGATCAACTGGGGCATCAGCGTGCGAGGCATCTGCGCGAGCAGAGCTTGAGGCGGCAGTGTCATCATGTGTGGTGACGGATGCATCAGCTTCGGCTTTGCGTTTTCGCTCTGTGGTGGGCGCGACCGTGGGGTCGGCCTTATGACCTCCAGGACCTCCAGCCTTTGCAGCGGCGCTCTGCTTCTCTTTGCGTTCAAGGTTGCCCCGAACCAATGGAAGATTTTCCTCATACACCTTTTCGAGGAATTCAAGAGTGCCATCAAAAGGAACTTGGATAGTGCCCTTCCAGGTCAACAGGCCACGGAATGCGCCACGACGACCGATGTAGCTGACATATTCATCCTCTGTAAAAATGTGGCGGCCGAACATGAAACCCCAGACCTTCTTCCATGTTTTGCGGAACTCAACTGGGAAACCATCAACACCTCGAGGCTGTGACATGAAAATCAACTTAGATAAGCAGTTTTCATTTTGGGCATTGGCGGCGACGCCAGCCGAGATCTGAGCTTTGGTCCTTGGGGGATCGGGGAGGTTGCCGTATGCGAACATGTCATCAAAGATGCAGTCCTGCAGGTCCTTCCCCTCACCGTGGATGCGGTCGCAAAAAGTGACGTCGCTGGCGTATCTGTCTTCCACGTCCTCGTAGCCCAGCGCTTTTGCACGTCGATGCCTGTCGCGGCAGTCTTTGAGGACTGCTGATTCCACGGATGTGATTCCCCTGGGGCCCAGTTCCCGGCGAAGCAGATTGGCTTGCTCATCTGTCAAAGCCGTGAGCAAGCTGCCGCTCATTTTCCCAAACATTCCGAACCCGGCGAGACTCTGCATTCGCCGTTCAAGGATGCGGGTCCTCCTGTTGGGTTTGTCGGCCTGTTTTGGATCGCCACTTTCGTCCACTGGGAGTGGCTCATATCCACATGTGGTGCATGTCACTTGGCCACTGACGTACTCGACCTGGCAGAGGGGGCAGGAGCCCATGAAAGGTTCGCAGTACTTGGGTGCAATGTAAACACGGCGCGTCCTTGCGGGCGGCTGGTCAACTTGCATTGGGGCAGTGGCTCCATCATCATCAGTGGACTTGGCATCGGGTCGCCCCGTGCTGGTGTCATCCATTGGGTCGTCATTTGCATCATCTCGGGCAGTCAGGGTGACCGCTTTGGATTTCGGTGCTGAGGCTGATTCCGCGCCTTTCCATGAGCTGGGCTGGAGATTGCTCTCGGCGCGGGACCAAAGCACCTGTCCTTCTTCTGAGATGCTGACCAGAAACTGCGGTGGGATGCGTTCTGAACACAAAATACCATCCATTTCTGTGCGACTAAAGATGACACCAGCTTCTACTGCTTGCCGCATTGCGATTTTGACTTCGACTGGACATTTTGCTCTTAATCCAGATCGATATCCCTGTGTGCCGATACAGTGTTCTGCCATGTAGATATGAGCACGGCCACTGTTGACTGTGCCACCGCCGCCTGGGATCAGGCCGTTCTGTGCGATGCTCTTCCAGCTGCTTCTCATCGTGCGATGGAAGACAACCTCAGGGACCTCAGTCATGGCACACAAGGGCACGCCAGTGAAGGCGGCTTTTCGCTCGGGGGATACTTGGTTTGAGCAATACACCATGGTTGAATTGGCATAAAGACCCCCTGCGGTTTTCAAGGCAGCTTCGGAGTGACCCTGAATTGCACGGATTTTCACAGGATAATACGGCATGCCTAGGCCATTGTCGACAGGAAAATGGGAGATCTTTGCACACAAGAATTGGAACCTACTCTTGCCATGCTTGTCGATCTTCATTGCGGTGCCAAACAGGTTTGCGACAGTGATGAAAACATCTGGGGGCACTTCCTTGCGGAAGGCTTTGGCAAAATCCTCCAAGTCAATCCAAAGGTCTTTGTCCATTGGCACCTTGGCACAGGATCCATGCCCCCTGCAAACTTTGTTGACACGAGTCGCAAAATCAGAAAATTTCTTGTCGACACGAGTCTGGCCAGCAATGGTCTCAACGTCGGATGCCGATATCAGCTCCAGCTCATAAGCCGTACCTTCAAAGAGGATACCGGGCACATCATCCCCGTCTGCATTGGTCACCATTGTATATTGGTATTCAGGCAAATGCTCTTCCATCCAATATGCTTTCACGTGGCCGGATGCATGTTCCTCTAAGCGCGCAGTTGCCTGCGGCTGGTACTGGCTGGATGTGGCTCTCTTGTCATCTGCGGGCTCATCCACTGGGGCTGGTGCTGCTTTCGGCCGCGACTTCAACATGACCTCAGCCGTTTGGACCAGGATTGTTGCTCTGCTGGATGCAGCGGGCTCGCCGTCGCCGGCGGCCTTTGGAGGGTCATCTTTGGGAGGCTCAGCAAAAGTGCCCGAAGGCATCGTCTTGGTGTCGATGTAGTCCTCAGTGTCAGGTTGTTGAGCTTCGACGTCCTCCTTGGTGAATGACCTGCCCGTCGGCGTGATGTGTCTTCGGGACTCTCCAAAAAGCAACTTGGTGATGTTTGCACATGTCTCCTGATAGGATCTTGGCAGCTCGTCCAGGACGGCGCTCATGTTCCTCCGCAAATCATCCCATGTTTCCTGGCCACACTGAGTAAGCTCCAAACCAATTCGGCCAACCCGCCATCCGCAATCAATTGCGAAAAGGGTAGCTGTCCAATAGGCAGCAAGACGCGTGCGATTTTCTTCAGAGTTGGCGAAATGCCACTGGTCTCGGAATTCCATTGCATCGGCGTACCCCTTTGCTCTCAGCCACGGATACTTCGGATTGGCAAGCCCTTGCAGGCTGCTGGTTAGAGCTTTAAATCTGGGCTCCAATACATCAAAGAACTGGTCAAAGATAGGGTGGATGCCATAGTCAGCGGACCAAGGCGCGGTCGTGAGACCGGCCGACTGCAAATCCAACTCCCAGGCCTTGTTGACAAACCATGTCAAGTGGCGCTCACAATCATCCAGGATCGTGGGCCAGTGCCCGTTGGGGCCGTCGTACGGCCAATTTGGATTTTGGGCAATCCCATCCTCTCCTACCAATTCATTTCCGAACCAGGACAAATGCAGGTTGATGCGGGCATCAGGATAGCGCTCGCGGGCGTCCGCGGCCAATTCAATCCCACGCTTGACCAGCTTCTGCAGAGTTTTGCCCCAAAGCATCTCATGGATGAACTCAGTCACATACTTAGGCTTGCGCTGCCGGTAATGCTCGGACAGGTCAACTTCTTAAGTGTTTTCCTACGCCCTGTGATCAATGCACATGACGAGTCAGAGACTAAGATCCAGATTACTTCATTGACAGGCATCTCTGGCAACATGATCTTTTCGATGTGGGACTCCTTTGGCAAAAAGCAGAAGCTAAGGTATTCTGCAAGCGGATCCTCTCGACCGTAGAACCTCAGGGCCGAGGCCGGCGTCCATTCGGTCATCAATCCATCCACGAGGTCCTGAGCAGCCTGATTCTCACCTTCATTGCGCATGGCCAATGCATACAAAATGCGATTGTGAAGGAGCAACCATGCTTCTTTGTTAGCCTCACGTGTGGCTTCGAGCGCAGCCTCGCGGCTGGCCGGGTGTGCTGTGGCATATCGCGAGTCAGCCATTTTAGCAGGACAGGCACGAATGACAGCGGGTAAAATCCTTTTGGATGTTTGGCCCACCACAGCTACCCGGAAACACTCATGGAGCATGTCAGTCAACTTGAAGGTATAGTTCTCAGCAAGTTTAAGAGCTTTGCCCCTACTTTGATCATGCTCATGTTTGCCATCACATTTAAATGAGTCTAACACTTCGAGTTCTTTGAAGTTTCCTGCAATAGT